TTCGTGCATAGATGAAAAAGAGCGTCCCCCCCCCCAAAGCAACTCTGCAAAGCACCATGCTCTCCGGGGTTCCGGGCCGTGCCGGTCCTTTGCCTCCTGGCAGGCTCGAGCTCAGCATCCCCCACCCCAGCAGGGGACGCAGAGCTCCGAGCCGGGGGTTCAGGAGGCTTGGGTGCGTCTGCAGGGAGTTTGGAACTGCCTGTGATCAGCTGTTGTTGCCCCTTCTTCTTCCTTCGCCTACAGAAGGAGACGGCATCAGCTTGCCCATCCGGAGCATGTAATCAGTGCTTCAAAGGAAGCAAACTGCCGTGCCGTTCAAAAAGGATCAGCAAGAGAACGCCCACGAAAAGCAACAAGCTGCGACCGATGATCCCACCCACGCCGACACCCCGAAACCCCCAACACCATCAACACCAAGCATTCCTAGGCACTCCCTGTCGGTTGTTGGTTGTTGTTTGATGGGTGGGCTGGGATTTGCGCAGCCGCGGCTGTGACGAACTGAGCCTGCAAGGCTCAAGGCAAGGCAGCTCGAATCTTCCCTCCGGACGTTCTTGAGTGCAACGGGTCTTTCTTTGAAGGCGCTCGTCGGCGCTTGCAAAAACTTCCTCAAGTTCCCGCCAGGCTTCGAGCCTTGTCGACGCCGGCGCTGAGCAGCGCGGCCATGTGGTCCGCCCGGCCCTCCGAGGCGACTTTGCGGAGCGCCACCTTGCCTTGCTGCGCTTTTTGTGGATTCAGTGAAATCACAAGGTCCCTTGTGCCATGCTCGGGGCCCCAGCTTCTCTCTTGGCCGAGGCTCACCTCAGAAGACGCGGGGCGCTTCTCCTCTTCCGGCGGGCTCCGGGGCCGGGCCGGGCCGGGCCGGGGCCCAGGCCACAAAGGCGGCGCAAGTCACCGGATCCACGAGGTGGAGGTCGCTTCGCCTCGGGTGAGGATAAGGCAGCTTCTCCGTGAAGGGGGGGCAGCGATCCAAAAAATCCACGCCGGGAGTCACAGGCACTCGCACCAACGACAGACGGCATCAACGCCAAAATCATGCAGAAAACCCTCAGTGGCCGGCCAGATGAACTCTCTCAAACTAAAGACCGCGGCGATCTTGCCGCCGGAGATGACCTGCATCAAACCGGAGCTGTACCCTCGGGCAGGTAGAATGTCCCCCCCCCCCACGAGGCTCCGACCAGGTTCACCAGCAGCATCCCGGAGTACTGCTCGAACACCACCATGGCAACGATCGCCAGAATCTGGGCTCTGCAAAGTTTCGAGACTTCAGACTCTGTCGAACCCTTGCCGTGAGTTCTGGCAGGGGCATGTGGGCGTGCAAGACTGGCAGCTCAGCAGTCCACACACTTCACACCCACAGAGGAACCCAAGGCCGGGCAAAGCTCATGTCGGTGGCTTCAGCTTTGATAGTTTTAGGTTTTTGGTTTGCGGTCTATAGGGTTTATAGGGCTTGGGAAGCTTAGGGTTTAGGAAGTTTAGAGTTTAGTTTTGATGTCGGTTCGTCGCCATATAGCCTGCGAAGCTGAAGAGGCCCCTCAGCACTGCCCGCCCCGAGGTGATCACAGATGGTCGTGCCCCGATGACACTACGAACAAGTTAAGAGTCACCTGACACTGCATCTTACTCCAAGTGCCTTTCCACATTCTCCAGCACCGACAGTCAACAGCTGTCGAAGCTTCAGAGCCCCCTTGCCTCCAGCGCCTTTGGCTTTGCGTTTCCACTTTGCTGCACAGTGCTATAGCGAGTCTGAAGTCTCAAGTTAACACCTCAGGGCCTGTGTCAGACACGGGCGCATTCAACCTTGTCGGCCAGTATGTCTTTATGACAGGATGCTCTTTGCGAGTAGCTTGATCAGTGGGTTAGTCTGTTAGACATCCTCATGCATCACGCAGGGATGACATTTCCTCCCAATCTTCAGCCACAACAGCTTTCCCTCGCGTGCACATTTGCATGATGGACCCCCGGCGAACGACCCAAGGCCGCGGCTGCCTGGGGCAAGTCTTCGCCAAGAGCAGTCCCTTTCAGACAAGAAGCGAACTGCGAGCGGAGAAACGGATGTGATGTGGCTCCGAGCTCCAGGCACAAGCGTGACTGTGTGCATTGCGCCACGAGCTTGGGCACGAGGAATCCCTCGGCCTACACCGGAAAGCAAGAGCTGGGACCTGCGAGGTGCGCGACCGTGCAGGAGGAAGGGCGCCTTCGCCAACAGGACCTTCTTCGGAGGAAGTGCGAGGAGGGAGGCCGCCTTCTGCACCAACCATTCCCACGTCGTCTGTTCCTGCCACGGGCTCCAAAAGAACAAACGTCATCATTCCACGCTCCCGCCGCATTTTCAGGCGCTGCCCGGGGGAGGGGCGAGACCTCCTCACCACGAGGCCGCTCCTGCTGTCCCGCCTGGCACAGCACGCCATGCGCAGCTCCAAATCCTGGAACGCAGAGCTCCGTCCTTCTTCACCCGAAGGCGGGCAACCAGGGCCGGAAAAAACTCTGCAGCCAGGTCCCTCCTGACGCAGCTGTCAAGCCCAAGGCATCCGACAAGTTCCAGAAGGCATGGTCGCCGATGTCTTGCAAAATGCAGCTTCCGGGTTATGGGGCTTCGAAAGATAGCTCCTTGGCTTTGATAAGGACTATGCTGAGAGGGGGAAAACAAAATTGACCTGTCCCACCCCCTGGCCGTGATGCTTCAGGCAAGTGTGGCAAGGTGTACTTGCCGCGCTCCTGGTCGTTGCGAACCAGAACCTTGCACAAGGCACGGACCGATATAAGCACGGATGCATCGTCATGCTGCATCCACCTTTCTGGACAAGCACCTTTCGGCATTTCTGGCTCTACACATCTGCACCACGCATAGAAGCAAGGGCCATGCAAGGCCGGTGCCGGCAGGAAAATGGTGAGGAGCGCTGCGTTCCCAACCAAGAAGCCTGACGGAAAGTACAAAGCTGCTCGAGACCTCCTACAGCATCGGCATCCCCTATAAACTAAGATCAGGATTGAATGGCTGTATTTTCTGGACACGATTCATACTTGCAAAACCTGGGATTCCTCCACTCTGCGAAGAGCTACAGGAGACTGGCCTGCGGTGCGTCTCCATGAGCCCGCTTGGCAGGCTGCGAGCTGAAACACGGCGCCAGCAAACAGACAATCCTGCGAGCGCTGATGGCCCGAGGCCCCAATGTAAAGACACCCTGCGAACCTTGGACCTTCCGAGAGAGCACACGCAACAGTGCCAAGCCGGGGTGGTCCGTCCTTGAGCAAGTCCACCCGTGGCCCCAGAACGGGGAAGACCTGAGTGCGGCGTTGAGGTCCCCGTAGACTTTTCAAGCACGGTCTGAGGCCGGAGCGCTCATGACTATGGAAATGGCAGGGTCTGCAAGGCCGATCTGGCGCTCCATCGACGCCGCCTGCAGCCGGGAGGACTGACTGCGACAGCCCTCCGGCCGCGGTCCGGCCCAGGCAGGTCGCCTGCAGCGCGCGGAAAAAGTAGCCCACCACGTCCGTAGCAAGGACGGCCTGAAACTCCGAAAGGCTCAAAAAATCCCCGCCGGGAGGAGGTCGGCACCGGGCCCCGGGCCACGAGCCAGAGCCAAATTATCTCCCACGCCAGCCCTGCCCCGCCCAGCATCAAGTTGTTTGCTTTTGACCAAGAGGTCAGAACCTCTGCAGGGCCAACACCAAGAAGGCACACGACGGGGTCGCTGACGAGCCCATCGAGCCCGGTGCCAACAAGAAGAGGATGTTGCAAGCATAATAAACCTGAAAGGGAACGGCTTTTGATATGCTGCCATCCGGCATGTCCAGGACGAGGCCCGCACTGCAAAGACCACAGTCTTACGTGGCCCCAGCTGCATCTCGAACTCTTCCTCGTCCTTCTGTTCCTGGGCCACTTCGCCTGCCGGGAACGGGAGCAATTGAAGAGGGCACCAAGCGACAGGCATCCCGCGGTGCCCGGCTCTCCTCCACCCGCTTCCGCGGTCAAAAGGCGGGTGTCTTCTTCTTTCGGAGCTCGGGCCGATCGGGCCGAACGGTCGTGCCTAACAGCAGCCAGAACAACGAAAATTCACGGAACAATTCAGGCCCAAAATCGTCTTGCATCGTGGACTTCCAATTTCTGCTACCTGTGGCCTGTGGCCACCTCTTGGTGCGTGGCCCTGTCGAAGCTCCCTGGCATCCCATGCATGCCAACAAGGACACCATCGCCACTGGCACGGTTGCCGCAACGACGGCCAGACCTCAAGCAGGGCGCACCTCTACCACCCACATTTGACCCTAGCTCGGTGCCTGAACAGAAGCCTCTCACCTGACAATCTGCGATTGCTCACTTCGCTTTCACGCACTGCACTCCCAACCAACATGACCCTTCGATGCCAAGTGCTGAAAAGCTGTGAGCCCAGAAATTGTTCAGTACTCGGGGTCCTCTGCTCGGGCTACGCAAGCCGCATCGCCCACATACATGTCCGCATCACGCACCCCAAAATCCATCCGTGGCCACACTGCGAGAGACTGCCAGCTGGAAAAGCCAACACACATGCGCACACACACACAGAGAGAAAACACATTGCCAAAGTCATGTTACGCGGACTTTCGATTATTCCGATGACTGACGGGCTTCGGCCTATAGTCCTTCGCCATCCCATGTCATTGTTTTACCTTCTTGCTCTGATGATGGACCATACACGTGTCGCGAGAATTGCAGGCACGCAGGGAGGTAGCCCTACTCGCTGTCACACGGCATGGACCGCCGTCACTCATGGTACATGTCTACTTGACATCTATCTCACACACACACAGCCTCTTGCCGTCCTTGTGATCGGACATGCCCTGAACACGACATGCCCCCTGCAGCCGACAACCTGAGTGCGCCGGCCGACGGTGAGGACACCGACGATGAGCGCGTCGATGCGACGCGCCGCCAAAGCCGCGTCCTCCGGCATGTCCAGGGCGGTGGGCAGCACTGCCTGCGACGGGCGCACGCTTTGACGGCGTACTGTATTGGGAGCACCTCCAAACTGGTCTCCGACAAAGACTCGTGCCTGGGGCTTCTCCAGCGGCTGCCAGCCCGGAAAGGAGCGCATGTGGAGCTCCATGGCTTGGAACCTGGCATGTGCGGAGCGGCCAAATAAAGGCAAGCTTGATCCTAGGCGCAGGGGCAGGCCAAATAACTCACTCGAAAGGAGCTCAACAACTGCATGGCAGCATGGCAAGACTGAACCAACATAGGGCCTGGTTTTGGGTTCTGGCATGGAACTCAACGCAATTCGCTGTAGCTTCTCGCAGGACAAGCCAAAGAGAACAGAAGAGCAGTGTTCTTAGGTTTATTTCCCAAGCGGATTTGAGCATTCGGTGCCGAAACCCTCGGCCCGGAAGTCCCCGCACTCAGATCTGCCACATACGAAACTCTCGCAGAGATTCCCGAGCGGCTCTGGCCTGGGACGCATTGCATCTGGCCTGGGCGGTAGGATTCAGTGCCCCTTGCTGCAGAGCTCTTCTTCCTTCTTCATGGGCGTGTTTTTCTATCCTGAGTTCAGATTTGCACAGAATTTTTTAGGAAGCCTTCGAAAGACTCTGTCCGCAAAGTGATACCTCCATCATCAATTCACACGACTTCTGCTGTTAGCTAGTCTTCTGCTCCTACGCCTCTGTCCTCTACCTGGGCGCCACGCTCTGGCAGCGCCCCAGAGATCGTCCCGATGAAGGGAATGGGAATCTCGCCCCCCCTGCAGGCACTTCAAGCAGGAGGCAGTCGACCCACGCCCCTAGAAGTAGCAAAGCCTTTCTGGTGATACCGCCGGGGGTTTCCGAAAAACACAATCCGTGCATCACCTTCCGTGCCTCTGTGGCTGTATGTGTATATCCCGAGAGAGACTGGGCACAGGACCGACCACTGGCAATAAAATGATGATCGCACGCAGAAGCTGATCATGATAATCATAAAAGTCAACAGTCACAATTGCTCTGCTATGAGTCGCACTAGTCAAGTGACAATGATGAGAACACAGCCGAAGCCATCAAAACAGGCTCAGAACGCTTGCAATGACCTCGCAACACTTCCATCTACAATCATGAGCGGTAGCCCACGCACTCCCTGCATACGCCAAATCCATTCACACTTTTCTTGCAGGCGACCCTCAAACCACCACCACCACCACCACCAGCAGAAGAACCAGAAGCGACTGCAGCAACAACAGCAGCAGTGGTATCAGTAGCATCATGAGCAGCAGCTGCATTCTGAGACTCGATCATCAACAAACGGAACATGGAGGAAAGGCTTGGAAACTGCACGTCCTTCAAAGCTGAGGCCGGAGCAATCGGGAAGTAGGGCAGGTTCTCACCCTCACCACGGTCAGTTGCCGGCCCTGGGGCTCGACAGATTTCGGGGGCCCACAGGTCTTTCAGGCGCCCGCTGTCAGACAGCAGGCCTCCAAAAAAAAACCGAGACCCAAGCCCTAAACCAGAAGCTTTTTTGTGACATTTGGGGAAATCCACATCCCAAGGCCGCAATAGGCCCCCAAAGCCCTTCCACGCCAAACCCAACGCCTACAACTCCCGTAAAAACCCTTGGTGTAATCTGTCGAAGGCCGGAGCACTCGGAGAACATGCAACAGCACCAAACGACCCCAACAAAACGGCTGTGAAACCCAACCAGAAACCAGAGACATCCCCAACAGCCCTCCTGCCTTGGCATACTACAACTAGAAAAGCACCCTACCCAGTAAACCCCTAAAACAAAGACCCCGACACCCGAAACCCTAAAACCCTAAACCCCTACAGCCTGAAGCCCTAAACAACACTAAACAACCCTAAACGACCCTATATAAATCCCGAGAACCCTCGGCGTCATCTTCTCTCGAAGGCCGATCCTCTGAGAACAGCAAGCATCAGAAGACGCCAAACCGTCTGTGAGACCCACCAACACCCCAATCCCGCATGCCTTGGCCTACGGCTGACAAAACCCGAACCCTAAAACCTAAATCCTGCCCAGAAACCCCCAAACCCCAAATTCCTCGACACCCCAAACCCCACGAAGTGCTTCGAATCCCGGCGGGGACCTTGCTCGCATCCAGCTCCGAAACGGCCGGCCTAGGGAGGCTTGTGGTTCAGTGCTCGCGGCTTAAGTCTTAGGGCCTTTTCTGGCATAGGGTTGTTTTGAGTTATTTTGGGTTTTGGGGTTGTGTGGTCTTGGGTGTAGAGGTTTGGGTTTGGGTTTGGGGGTTGATTGAAAAATTTTCGGTGTATAGGGTTCAGGTTTGAAGCTTTTGGGCGTGTGGCTGCGAGATGCTGCGAGCTGTCTGTGCGGTTCCTTTATCTTGTGGGCGAGCAACGAAGGTCTCCGACTAAGGATTCGTAGGGTTTTGTCTCACTGCTGCTACAAACAGTTGTTTGCTCATGCTGAGTAAAAAAGTCTGGTTCAGGGTTTGGGGTTCAGGGCTTCCCAGCCTTGGCTGACAGGGGCTTTCGGATTCAGGATTGAGCAGCTTCTGTCCTGATCGAACGACACTCACGCCTGCGAACCCTTGAACCGCCCATGACACACAGCCATGAAAGCAGGACCCGCCATCGCAGGGGCTGGGGCCAGGGGATGCTCGACTGCATTGCTTGATGTTGCGGGTTCGGGATCAAAAGGTTCAGGCAGTGAGGCTCTCAAGTCGAGGCCTGGAAGGTTCAGATTTTAGGGTTCAGGGTTGCGGCTTCAGAGGGCTTTGGGAGTTACACCTCCATGGCTTTTGATATCACGGGCCGCTTAAGGTCGAGTCTTTCCGGCCGCCAGGGTTCACTTGGGGGTAGGGAATCAAAAGGCGGTTGGGATGAGCGGAAGCTTTGGAGCACCTTCGCTGAGACTCCGTAGACTCTAAGCCTTCTAGGCCCCCCCGGAAAGCATGAACTTGCAGATAGGCTTCCAGGCTTGCTCATGGATTCAGGGCTTCTCGGAGCTTTTTAGTGGCAGACCACCACCCACTACGGACGAAACGGGAGACCCGAGACCCAAACCACAGCACACTGTGGAAATCCTAGCCACCCCCCAGGGAAGATTCACTTACAAACACTTCGGGGTTTGGGGGTTTAGGCTTAGGTTAGAATGCACCTTGATTGATGGAGTGGATGGAGTTCCTCTGCACCCCGAAAACAAACCCTCAAAAAACCCGAACAATATTGCAACACAAAAGCCTAAGAGCACTGAAAACCTCGCCCCCCTGGGTCGCTAGCTCAGCGGCCGCGAGGACTCCCAGAGCCAAGGTCCAGAGGAGCGCCTTGGGCCAAGGGCTCCTTTAGAGGCTCCTCTGTAGGGGCTCCTAGAAAGGAAAACTCTTTCCTTCAAGGGTACTAAAAGGGTTCCGGTTTAAGGGCTCTATAAGGGTTGGGATTCTGCAAGGGTTCTGCAGAGGGCCTGCAGGAGGTGCACTGACTTCGACAGCTAGTAGATGCCATAAAGACATATGAGTCATAGAGGGAGGCCGCGGGTAAAAAAGACGCGTTCCTTTGATGGTGCTGTCATGGCAAGTGTTGTATACTCACGGGTATGGCATAAATCTAAATGCATGAAAACTCGAACTGCGAGCCGTAAACCAACAACAACGCCCAACAGCCAAACCCCTTAAAACTTCAGACCCCTTGCTAGCACTAAAC